AATAATTATGACGATGATGATGACGATGATGATGACGATGATGATGATGATGACAATGAATACGACGACGATAGTGTATTTTGCTTTAATGATGAGTCATAGATCGTCTGACCAAACGCATCACAAAATAGAATCACAAAAGCGTAAACATTAACGATGATGATGATAATTATATGTGTATATATATATATATATTTTTACAATATTCTATAAATTTTACCGAATGTTTGATTATGACGATGGAAACGGTGACGTTTAGTTCACCAAAAAACTTTAGTGAGAAAAATCAAAGAAACGAACTACAAACATATTAACGCCAAACATTCGGTAGAATTTATAAAATATTGTAAAAATTATGGTCTATTACCAACATATATATATATATATATATATATATATATATATATATATATATATATATTTTTATATCTTATATATCTTATGGTCTATACCAACATATATATATATATATATATATATATATATATATATATATATATATATATATATATATATGTGAAGCAACTTATGACATCTACCGAATTTTTAGCGTTTGATAATTTTTTTATTACATTTTACTAACCATCGCTAGAATTAGGTAGATTTCATAAATTACTGCATTAATTATGGTCTTTTATATATGATGAATATATATATATCATCATCATCATCAGATATGTTATTATCATCGTCGTCATTATCATCGTCACCATATATATATGTCTTCATCGTCTTCATTTTCTCGTCATTCAATGATTTACTTTTTATTATGTCCGACTCCGGTCCCTCAAAAAATCCCGCTCCTACTAAAATTTTTTGACCCCTACTCCTGGTTCCGAATTGAATTCCAGAAAAATTTTTTTAACTTTTGCATCATAATTTTACCTTAACATCACTGCTAAATGAAAAATATTTTCATTTTTGCATCATAATTACACCTTATTATCACTACTAAATAAAAAATACTTTCAAAAACACTTAAAATCAGTCAATGTAATTGTATTTCTTAGTAAAATTACTTTATTTTTATGTTTTACAATATACTGAATGGAAATTGTGATTTTAGTCATTTATTTTCAGTATAAAAAATGATTGTCTGTATTACATATATTTATCCTCTAAATAACACAATCTCAGAAAAACTTTTAAACAATATTAAAAATTTTTTTAAAATAAATATCATTTTCTGGAGTCAGATAAAAAAATCCGAATCCGTCAAAATCTCCAACCGACTCCAACACTCTGATTATGGTCACGAGCGTAATTTTGGCCAAGAAGTTGAGCTTTTTAATATGGAGACATAAAGTTTTGCTAGCACTTCCAATTAATAATATTATTTTTTACTACGTTGTCGATTGTCACTGGTGTCATCATCGCCATTCTATTTGTCACCATTTAACAGTAGTGTCGCTAGCTCATTCGTTGTTGACGACGATGACGACAACTACGACGACGACACACACGACCACCACCACCACCACCACCACGAAAGACAGCAGCAGCAACGCAGTTGCATCAACATCACTCAACAACAACAACAACGTCACATCTTCATCGTCATCATCTTTGTTGTCAACATCTTCATCATTCTTCTCCATGGTTATGTCCAATATTAAGGAGTCTTTAACTGGCAACAACAACAACAACAACAGCAGCAGCAACAACAACAATATTAATAATAGTAGTAACAATAATAATGTTGGTTCATTGGTTAAAAAGTCTAAAGAGCATCAACAGCATCACCTCACAGGCGGTTATGATAATGATTTCTATGAAAATAATTCACAAGATGGCGCATTTGTTAGTGACTTCAATTTTTTCCCCTTTCACGTTAATTTAATTTATCATATATCCATCCAAGTAATCAGCGCGTTATCATTGGTTAGTATTAATAATGTGCCTCAGTCGGTTGTCATTGCCTATTTAAAATGACATTATTCTTCTTATTATTGTTATTTTTATTTTTATTAAACGTATACACAAAAATATTTATAATGTACACTACTTTTAAATATATACTATATATATATATATATATATATATATATATATATATATATATTCAACAATTCATCAATGAGATCACTGTGATGTTGATTGCATTGCCAAGAATGAACTAAACTTATGCCGGAAAGAATTTATAAATCATCAAAACTAAAACTTCATATATATATATATATATATATATATATATATCCTAATAAATTCTACTGCTTTATTAGTGTTTATTAACTTATATTTGAATTTTTCAATTTGTTTTGGTAAATTTTTTTACTACTGTTATTATTATGTTATTCAGAAGCTATTAGTAAAAACAATATTTACTAAGACAAATTGAAAAATTCGAAAATGAGCTGATAAACACTAATAAATCTGTGAAATTTATTACATACTGTCAAGAATTTGGTTTATATATATATATATATATATATATATATATATATATATATATATGTGTGTGTGTGTGTGTGTGTGTGTGTGTGTTTGTGTGTGTGTGTGTATATAATATTTATATAGGCAATTCTTACCTACTTACTTGGGCTAACTCATCAGGTTAAATATAGCAGCGGTTTTTCTGAAGTGGCCAGCATCCCGTAGGGTTTGCCACAAAGTTCACTTTTGGGACAAATTTTGACTGGTCGTATCGGGCAGTAGTTCTTGAGATCATTCGGTGGTTTGGTTTCATGTGTCATGCCTTTGCACATTACATCCAGGGAATAGTGGTCACCAGCATACCAGAATTTCTTCAATCCGTTATTCAGAAACTATTCACATGTTTAACAGATATCTGGATCAAACTAAATAGATGCAAATCAAATTTTTTTCCAACAGAAGTTTGGCAGTAGCTGTCAAAGATAGATTTAAATTCTGAAAATATTGGAGAAAGAAACATATAATTTTGTGAAAAAGCATTAAATTTGGGATGTGTGTTGGACTGTCAGTGTTAGACTGTCAATGAAGGATCATCTGAAAATTCTTTCAGCAACATGTACATATTAGCTACAAAGAATACATCGACTTTTTAAATAATTGGACGAATCAATTATACAAACCCTGATGCATGAATTCAAACATTCACATCTGGATTATTGCAACATTTTATTTCATGGTTCCCCTTGTAAATCCAGAGCATTGATTCAATCCATTCAGAATTGAGCGACAAAAATTGTTGTTGGGTGTTGAAAGTTCAATCACGTAAAGACGATCTTAAGAGATCTTCATCCGTTGAACGTCGAAAAAAAATTAATGTTTGAAACATGCATTGTTGTGTTTACAGCCATGAATGTACTCATGCTTTGGTACTTTATGGAAATACTTGAAAAGATATGGAATGTTTCGGTAGGCATCACTGGAGGTCTGTTGGTATGAATCCGATGGCTTTTGGCCCCGCTCAACTACGTACATGTCCGAGGAAGATTGAAGATTTTGTGGAATGGACTGCCAGAATAACTGAGGACACCAGGATTGAGCATTGACTCTTGAAAAATATTTTTGAAACACATTTGTTTTTGACAGGATAATAAAAAATCTGTATTCGTTTCTATTTTATTTTACGTTTTGGAAATTTTTCGGTTTCTTTTATTTCAGTGATTTTTGTGGCGGCACTTTTCAGAAATTTTTAATTAGTGCTATATAAATTATTTATTTTTAACTCATTATTATCATTTATATTTATATACTTACATTCATCCAATTTTTACGACAGCAAGTTCACAGTGATTCCATATACAACACGCTAGACAACAACAACTCTTCATCTTCAACAACAACGCCAACAACAATAGCAACAACTGAAAGCATCAACATTTGTGGCACCAGCAACAACAACAACACCTTCACTAACACAACGGCTAGTAATTGTAACGATTTCACTATCTCACCAGCACAAAATGGTACAGTCAAAACTACTATAAAATCTAAAAAGACCAAGTTATCAAATTATTTGGCCTCGACGGCCAGTGTTTCAACATGCAACGCCAACAATGTTGCAAATAGTCAGAATACAGTTGTCAACAGTAGCAACAACATCAACAGCTCGAACGTCAGCAACATCAACCTCGTTACTGCTTCCAACGTGAATGTTACTGCAACTAGTACTGCCAACATCTCATCTGGTAGTAACTCTAACAACAATAATAGCACCAGTAGTAGTAATAGGGATAAGGACTCATTGTTAGCTAGGTTGGTTTGTTGTTGTGTTGTTGTCTGCTGGTTGGAGCTAAAGTAGAATTAGCAGTGATAGTAGTAGTACTTGTAGAATTACCAATGGTAATTGTAGAAGTTGTAGGCGAGAAGATGGCGCAAGGCATGCGTGCCTGGTCCTACCTGCTTCAAATACAGAAGAGATCCTCGTCTGTTGTGCTCTGTCTTGATGTGTATGATGAATGTATGACGTGTGTGTGTGTGTATGTGTGTGTGCGCGTGTATGTCATAGTTGATTTATCTGACAAATATTTACCATCACCAGTTACCTTAATACTTTATATCAAGAGTGGCCAGCCGGTGGTACAGTACAATGCGTTACTATGTGCCAACTGTGGTGCACTGCACAATTACAAGTGGCGCATTAGGTCCCAAAAATAATACAAGAGGAAGGAAAAATCATGCCTGATGTTAATTTAAAAATAATAAAAACATTTAAAATTTTATTGATACTTCTATAAATTAAAAAATCCTCTTTTTTCAACCTATGAATGTTAGTTAGGCTGTGGCATGTAGGTACATCAGGACATGCTCAGCCGCAGGTCTTTTTTGAAATTTCGCGATATTTTTTTGTTTATATAGTTTTTGGCTACGTTTTTAAAAAGGAACTATGAAAAAATTTGTGTAGCGCATATGAATTGAAATTGAAAAAACTGGTGCATGGCAACAATAGGTTGGCCACCCCTACAACTGCATCAACAGTTATTAATAATAAAGATTTCTGCTCACTTAAACTTTACTAATTGCTTTTGCACTGGGATAACATTCACAGTAATATGATGATTACGTGATATTTGATTGACAGTAGGCTGGAGGCAGACGTGAAGAGGATGAGGTGCGAGTTGCAAATCTCAAAAAATGTTGAATCAGAACTTCGATCTCAAATATCCAACCTGTCAGCCACCGAGAAGTCATCCAAGGCTGAACTCAACCAACTCAGACAAGATAATGAAAGTCTACAAGCCAAGTTAGTTGTTCATAATAATGGCGAGGATGTCGCAACTGCTGCTGCTGCTGATGATGACGCTGCTGATGTGCCGGTATGGTTGTGATGCTAATGGTGTAATCGAATTGATAATACTGCATCAAAGATGTTGATATTTTCAGTAAGATTATTGTTAATGCTGTGAGAAGTATGAAATATACATACAAGTAGATAAGGATGACAATAAAATGACACTAATAAAGATGACGTAAGGATGATGGTGTTGAACAAATAAATGTGAGATGACATTAATGATGTTGTGAAACCTTCAACACATCATCAATCAGACTACAGAAACAGATCCTTGGTAGGCAGCAGGACAAACAGAACCTGGCCATTGCTGAGAGGAGATTGGCTGAGGAGAGGAAACAAAAGGTAATAAATACTTTTATTGCTACTACTGCTACTGTTATTGTTACTTCTACTGTTATTGCTAATACTACAAACGAATATTTATCTAGAAATTGATTACATGGTGGTATTATTATTATTTTATAAATATAAAAACTTCCAAAATATTTTTGAGAAACTTTTACCGAACATTATCTGTTCTGCTTGTGTTGTATGACTAGATTGTGTGTGTGTGTGTCTTTATGTATGCTCGAATTTCGAAACAGAAACTTTTTTGTTTTTTATTTGGTCGAGATTGTATATTTATTTCAATTTGTTAGAAAGATTTCCGTTTTTTTCTTAAATAAAAATATTCGATATATATTTATTTGCTTCAAAACAAAATTAAGAAGACTATGTTGAAGTTAACGAGCGACATATAAACCATAGCCACCTTGTAAAATGTTAACAGAGAGTAGATCAATTGAAATTATATACTTAATGACTGTAATACTAAAGACAATAAATATTATTATTATTTTAATATTGATCCATTTAAATCCCGTTCGAACATTCACAGGCTACATTGGAGAACCAGCTAACAACTGAAAAGAAGAAAAAGGCGGAAGAAGCGGCTGCCGCCTTGTTTAAGGCCTCAACAGCCGCTGCAGCTATTAAGTGGGTCATCTTTTTCCTCGTAATTTATTGGTTGACCTAATTTTGTTTAATTGGGTGGGTGAGTATGTGGGTGGAGGTTATGTTGTGCAATATTTTGATCAGTCTGTTAGTCGGAAAGTTGATAAAATCAGCGTTCTTGGTGGTTTTTGCTGGTAAGCTGTGCTGCAAATATTTTTTGTCTAGCTGCTTGCAAACTTCCTTGCCGAATTAATTTGGGTTGCATAATGCGTCGCACGTCCAGCACATGAAATATCGCCTGCCCCATCATCGTCGTCGTCGTTACACCGGAATGAAATTGCATTCATACATATCCTTGGATGGAGTCAGGTGCTTTTAAATTGCATTCGTGCAATGTACGAATATGCTAAAAGTAAAATCGGCAGGATAGATAGATTCGTGTTGTTTACATTTCCACATTTAATCGTTTTAGAGAATAATTTATTTTGTTGCACGGTGTTTGCAAAAAATGTTAATTGAGTGCACTGAAGCGCTGAGAAAACAAACGAACAAACAACAGCAACAACAGTTCCATTATAGATTGCAATCGTCATTGGCTCCAGCGACACACCCAATGCCATCCTATCTCTTTAAATATTCATTTTTGTTCGTATTTCATGTTCACATTGCAAAAATTTTCAAAATAATGTGGATTTTTTTGAAACGATTGTTGATTTCATCCACATGCCTCCTTATGTTCATTGTTGAACACACCTACATGCACACTCACATACATACAATAATTAGGTTAAATTAACCTTGTATTATTAGTATTTATTATGTATTAAAGTTTATTAGTAAAATACACAAACACGCCTACGTGTCTTTCATACACCCTCACGCACACACACACACACACACACATACAAATTCTTGAACAGATCTGAATGTATATCGGATATGTGTAAATCGAGTAAAAGTGAACTAGATAATGAGCTGAAGAAAGTTAAGAATGATTTGAAGAGTAAAGATGACAAGATCAAACAACTAGAAAATGATATTCAGGTATAAACACTGTGTTGTTGTTTTGTCTGGCATGTTGTTGTTGTAGCGTTAATAATGCTGATGTTGTGTTTGTGGGTTTTTTTTTGTGTCAAACAAGTTGTTGCTTGTGTTGATTTGTTTTCCCGCAATCGGCCAATCAATCAATCGACAACCAACAGCAACACCAACATCAACCACCTACAATAACCAACCCCCAAAAACACCCTTCAATCGACCAACCAATGAACAGTCAATGAAGCAACAGCAAGGTTCCAGTCAAGAGGCAGAGGTCCTGAAGAGTGCACTGGTGGTTCTGCAGAGCAAGAACAGCCAGCTGGAGCTCAGCTTGAGCTCTGAGACAAGACTGAAACTCGACCTCTTCTCAGCTCTTGGTGACGCCAAAAGACAAATTGAAATACAGCAAGGTTGGTTGGTTGGTTGGCTGGTGGGTTGATTGGTTGGCTGGCTGGCTGCTGGTTGGCTCGTTGATTTTTGCTTGGTCAAATTGGTTGTTTTGTTTGGTTCATACAAAGAATGAATTTTGACCGTCCGTTTAACCTTAGGTTTTTTTTAAAGACAGCAACGAAAAACAAACATTTTGAGTGCTAATATAATATAAAGTTGTTTAGGAGTCCTGATGACGTAGCACGTGACGAATGCATTTAAAATCCTAGCACTGATCTCCACCTGTATCTTTTTAACTTCTTTATAAGATGTGTTGCCTGCTAATATCGAATGTTAAGAGCAATATATATAAAAAAAATTCTGTGAACGCAGGCCTACTGATCCAGAAGGACAGGGAGTTGCGCGATCTGAAGACTCACATAGCCGAAGTCATGGCGTTCCTACCCGTCTCCAACTCTTCGTACTGTGGACCCAACAACTCCCAGCTAGCCATGTTGTTCTCACCATCCTCATCTACCTCCTCACCATCACCAATGTCGGCTTACCCCTACAACCCCGGCAACCACATGATGGAACAGTCACCACCAAAAACTCCCATTCTAACTCATCATCCTCAGTACTCTCAGCAGCAGCAGCAACAACAACAGCAACAGTACCAACAACAACAACATCAACAACAACAACAGTACCAACAACAACAACAGCAGCCACAGATTAATAGTGATGGAAGCGTTTCTCCATCTCCACAACCAAGTTCTCAACATCAGCAGCAGCAGCAGCAGCTGAATGGCAATTATGGGCCAACATCAAGTCAACAAATGTAAATAAATAAAATATATACGTAATGTAATGTAATGATGACGCCGATGATGATGACGATTACGATGATGTGTCGTTGGTGTTAGAGGATAACCGATTAAATGATGATGATGATGATGATAATGATGATGATGATGATGATGCTTTTTTTTGTTTTCATTATTAAAAAGAAACATTTTTCAAAAGAAGTTTGTAAAGAGATAAATAAAAAAGACTTTGTTAACATGAGATTAAGTTGTCATTTTAAACTCATGTCATCTACTTGCATGACGACGGTGATGATGTTGACGACTAAAGTGATGATGATGATGTTCGGTGAGTAATAAGAATGACTGAATGAGTGAATGAATGGATGGATGGATGATTGATTGATTGATTGATTGATTGATTGATTGATTGATTGATTGATTGATTGATTGATTGATTGATTGATTGATTGATTGATTGATTGATTGATTGATTGATTGATTGATTGATTGATTGATTGATTGATTGATTGATTGATTGATTGATTGATTGATTGATATTTTTGTGCATGTCTTCAAATTAGTTATTGTTTTTTTCTCAATTAATGCTGATGACAAGGAAGATAAATAATGATAATAATAATTGTAATAATAATAATAATAATGATAAATTATATATGAAGACAAACATAGAACGATTCAGCAACGTGCCTGCCTGCTTCAGATGCTCTTATGAGAGATTGCCATAGATTTAAAATGAAGAATATTCCTCCTTACATGCGATACATACCTGTACGTTAATGCGAGCTGGCAAACGTCAGATCTGTCTTGTCACTTTTTTTCTATAACTAAACAGCGTTGTGGAAGAGGAAGAAGATATCAATTGTAATATTTTAATAATTATAATAATGGAGATGGTGTTAGTGGTAAAAATAATATTGATGAATATGATAATACGAACAAGTTTCATCTGGTTTAAGTATAACACCCAGTGGGGGCAATAATTTTTTTCCATATTTATTCATTTCTTCACCTGTGATTGCCAGTTCACATGTCCCTCCCCTTACAAACCCGGTTGAACCTAACTTCTCCTCAAACATTACCCACAATCTTAATCCACTTTTTGTCACACGGCAAACTGGCCATGGTCATTATCATTAATTTATTAAACCCCAAGCCCCAGGTATATTACATTTTATTTGTCTGTAAAGTCCAGTAACTGAAGTAAGTTGGAATGATCTTTAACCTTTGACTCCGCTATTGAGAAATGGTGCAATAAAGTTATCAACTTGTCTCTAAAGTTTTTTTTTTTTCATTTTCAACCAAATTCTCAGCTTACCTACTGATCTATTCTGTAAGATAGATTTCACGGTATATGTTAGTGAATGAAGTCAGCCTAATTAATGACAGGAGGGTTTATGTTGTTGGTGCTTGCGTACGTTAATTACAAGTTAATGTAAATTGGGAAATTCTTTTAAAACTGGTTTTCGTAACGGTGAACCCGTCTTCTTGTCATGAATTTGCTATTTCAGGATTTGATAAATTCAAAAAAATTATCAATCGAATATATATACATAAATTTTATGGATGTTTGTATGTATGTAAGTGTAGGTATGTATGTATGCATGCATGCATGTATGTAAAAGTATTGTTTGTATTTACGTAATGATAAGTGTACACCTATAAATGTATGCATGTATGTATGCATACCCATGTATACTTGTTCATATGTGTACGAGAGGAACCCAGATTGGACAGCCTGGTAAATTGTTTTGAGGGGCAAACTCTTTCATGAAGATAAGATGTTCTTGCTATTTTTTTAGTTATTTTTTGTTATTTTCATCTTTCAAATTATTTCTATTATTGACTACTAAATATAAAAAATTTATTATATTATGTTATAATTATTGTTATTAATATTGTTAATATGAATAATGTATTGATAATAAGAAGTAAATGCATACGTCGTTGCATACGAAAAGAATCTGTTCAACTCAACGGTCTCGAGAAATTTTTGTAGATTTATCAAAATTAAAAATACATTTATCCTCTATATGGCGTGATTGAAGATGCATGTTAACTGTGCTGAAGTAACCGAGTTCAAATTCCGAGTGATTCACGACTATTTTGCCTAGAGTGAAACTCACTTATTTACATACAATGTTTGAAAAATAAACGGATAAAAAAAATAGGCTGTACTATACGTGTACACCTATCTGAAGTTGACTAATTGAGGAATGAAGAAAAACGAATATTAATGACAGAGCGTTAATTAATTAAATTTAAAACTAACATTAATTAAATGTTAATTAATTGTTATCATATTAATTACATTATTATATTAATTAATTAATGGATTGATTGATTGATTGAAAAAAAACGGATTGTGTTCTATAAAAGATTATGGCCCAACAAAACAAAATTTTATTGCATATATTTATTGTTATTATTATGTAGTTCGGGAGACGTGATTTTAAGAGTAAACGAATGAGCAGACGATAATAATAAAATAATGATTGTTATATGTATCATGTTATACATCATGCTGGCAGTGCTAACGGAAATGATGATGGCGAACATGATGACGTCACCGATGATGACGATGACGAAGAGGATGATGGCTAAACAAATGATGACTCTGATCGTCAGTAATTACTGAAAACAGGCACTTTTATAATCATATCATTATTAATGTTAAAAGACTAGTGAAAGCGACAAAATGATGTATACAAATATACGCGTAACAATAATAAAGATTAGCGAAATAATAACAGCAAATATAATAACAAATGAAATACAATGTAATTTATCAACAAAGGATTAATGAGCTCCAATTAAGCCTACATAATTTCGAATAGAAGCAAATGAACAAAAGGTGGTATTGAAATCAAAATCACGAATCCATTATTAAATCATCATGACGATTATGAATAATTATTTCGTAATAAGCACTCTGTTCAGTGAATGTAAATTGATTCTGATAAAGATTTTAAATAATTTTACGTCTAATCATTATCCTCTATCGAATCACTGCGTTTCTTTAAATGAAATTCTTTGCAGTTTTAATTTTTCAATACTGTTCACAGACTCAATTGAAAAAAGCATTAATAAATGTTGATAAACAAATAAGTGCAAATTTGAATACAATTTTTTTGTATGGAAGCTAATGTTCTACAATGTAAAAAGAAGATTCACATAATATTAACATCAGTAATAATAATAACAACAATAATAACAATAATAATAATAAGAGAAATGAAAGACAGATATATGAACCTTGTTAATTGCCACAGAATTCATGCCTACATGTACACACACACACACACACGCCCAAACGCACAATTGTCATATAATAATAATTCACTGCAACCAATTAATTTTAATCATTTTAAATGAAATCTGAATGACAACCATAACGACAATAGGTCCTGTACTTTTCATGAATTTGTTCTTTATGTTAAAAAAATTATTTCTTTGAATGGATACATTGATCTTAACAAGAGGATAAAAAGAGTATGAATGAAGTATTAAATAAGTCAAATTCAGACTCTCAATTAACCAAAATACAGTATTGAGTGAAATCAAAATTGACAAACAGATAAAATAAAACATGGAATATTAAAATCATCAAACACCAAACAACAAAGTATTGAACCACAATCCATCAATTGAAATTTATGTAATAAACTGGAAAAGCTCATAAAGATATCACCTCAAAATAAAGTAATCAATAAAAATTTTGATAGCAAAACCAGCAACAATTTAGATGATATACAGATAGATGCAGACCTAGATTTGAGAGTCTGAAGAACCTGGAGAAACAAAAAAGCAGAACCTTCAAATTATTTTCAGAAGTAAAAACAGTCTTCTTATTTATTTCAAAATTTATTGTGAGTACTCCACTCTTGTGCAAGTCCTCTTGCCATGCCATAAATCAAGCTCTGGGTACACAGCCAGATGAATGGCAATGGAAACATTGATAAATTAGATAGAAACAAAAAGAGATGAATAGTGATAGATATATATAAACAAATATTGATAGATGAACATTGTCATGTCATGTTTAATAAATCACATTGAAATCAGTGAAACTAAACTTAGATACAAAACTCTCAATACTATATTATGCAAGTCTAAATGTCATGATAACTTCTGGCATCTCCTGATCTTGATTTCAGTGATGTGACATAGTGAAACAGCCCGACACCAATGAGGACTAGTGATATTGAGAGGATCATGCCACCAAAGAATGATGAACTGTTGAAAGTTCTCTGGACACAAACATCTTGACCGCTAATGACTGTTTGCTGTAAGAGGAAGACAAAAAGAAGTATCTTCATCATTCGTTTGCTGCTGTCAATATTTTCTGCACTGTTAATTGTTTAATAATTTGTTAAGGTCACCATTAGTGTATGCAAAGGTGAATATACTATTCTTGTGTATTTTTTAATTAATTAAATAATGATTTTCTTATGAAACTGAAAACTGTAAGTATAAAACTATAAATAAAGGTGTATAATTTGTGAAAATCATATGAATGAATGAATGAATGAATGAATGAATGAATGAAATAATAACAAAATAATAGATTGAATTTGCCATTAAATTCAAGTCTAATCCATCCATCTATCCACCAATCGTTCTTCAAATATTAAATTTTTATATGGTCTGAGGCACAGACCACAGAACTGAACCTGAACTGACCCCATAGAAGAGAAGGATCATTGATCAATGAAAAAAATATTTTTGCATCAATAAAAAAATTGAAAATTTAATATAGTTAGTTATTAAAAACGCAAAACTAATAATTATTCAGGCAAATGGCAAGACGAATAAAGAAATTATATGAAAATATGGTACGCTACGGATGAGATGAACTTTCACTTTTAACATTTCAATCTTGCATAGATAAATTAACCACAAAACACAAAATAATTTTTTGAAAAAAAAAAATTTTTGACACATCAAAATTTGGTTAATTATCTATCTCTATTGCGGTAGCTTTTTTGTGGAGGCTCAGAGCAAAAGTTCAGTCTGTC